AATCGACGTTTTTGGAAACGGTTCAAAATCTATATTTATATGCATATTAATGTAGATGAGAATCTGTAATTATGGGGAAAATGTTGCTCAGATATACAAATAGGAGATATATCTAGTCATTCAAGGAGCAGAATAAGTTATGACTGCGTAGTGATTGATGATACTTTTGAGGATGAAAGGTTTGTAACAATATGTGAATGTCGATTGGAGCGATTGATATGGGTAAGAGTTTGAGATATTAGTAATTTTGACTTTAGGGGAAAATATTTTCATGGAGAGAGCTTAGGGAGAAAATGTTGCTTAGGCATAGAAATAGGAATAGCATAAGGAACAAGGATAGTGGGTTGATTATAATCTATGAGTATTAAAGGTTTGCAACAATGTCGCGACCAAGGGTGTGGACCATTGGTCAATAAAGTGGGAGGAAAATTATGAGGTTTCAGGTCCAATTGAGACAAAAACCACTAGGTGTTTCTTTACCTGGTGCGTGTGAGGTAGCAGGTATGTCGTAGAATTAGTCGAGATGCGAGCATGCGAGACCCAAACACCATGGTTATCAAATAAACAAAAAGAGGTTTGTAACAATGTTATATGACAAATGGTGCATGTGAGGTAGCAGGTATGTCATAGAATTAGTCGAGATGCGAGCATGCGAGACCCGGACACCATGGTTATCAAACAAACAAAAAGAGGTTTGTAACAATTTTATATGACAACTGGTGCATGTAATATGGATAAAAGTTGAGATATTTGCAGTGTTCACCTTTAGGGGAAATAATCTCCGGTGGAGAACATTTTCCAAAATTTGATATATCCCAAAGTTATCATATCAAACACCCTAATTCATAGCTAGATTTGACAAGGTTGAAGCTTGCTCTTGAAGGATTATTTTTACCTGCAATTTATTTTCTTATTTGAATGCTTACTCATGCATAGAGACTGGTGATTTGGTCTTCTAATTTTCAGTATATTGCTTCTCATTATCCATTGAACATGATATTCCATAGTTCTTTTTTAATTATTTATGAGGTACTCTAAATTGTAGTACTTGACTTTTATGCTGCTTATGAACCTGCATTAGGTGTGAACATCATTGCTGGCAGACAGCACTCTGCAGTTATTTTCTTGGTCATCTGTGATGTTTCTACTAGGCTTACACAAAATAGTAGGGTGATTTTATTCAATGTTCTACTAAATCCCATATGAAATCGTGTTGTAATTTCAGAATGGGTATTGCTCCTGAGAGATTAGTAACCACCACTTTTATTTCATATGAATTTGTTGGAGCTTGCTCATTTCCTTTAGTTGGGCTATTCCCCTGGTAATCGTACAAGTTACAACATAAATTCGAACTGATGAATATAATTGTTTTCTTACATTGATTGCAGGACAGAACTCTGTCGTTTCAGTGGTGGCAAGATTTACCCTGGGAGGGGCATCAGATTTATTCGTTCAGATTCTCAGGTATTCTTTCAATAGATAACCTGCCATATTTGTAGTCGGGTATGATTAATTTGTTTGTATTCTTAGGAACAGGAGGAAAATCCATGCTAGTTTCCATAATCACTTTATGATATTTTGACTCTTTTAGGTGTTCCTATTCCTCAATTCAAAATGCAAAAGATACTTCCACAACAGGCTGAAGCCATCAAAACTTACTTGGACAGCTATGTATAGGAAACAACACAAGAAGGTGAGTTTTCAGTAAACCTTCAGAGTTCAGACCAGAATGTATAACTTACTCAAACTCCCTTTTTTTTTTGCTGTTTTGCTTTTAAGTTGCCTCTAACTCTGAATAATGATAATTTTGTTTTGTCTCATAATCTAGACTATTACTAGGGAATATGCCCTTTCATAAGTTGCCTCTTGTTTTGCTTGAAAAACATGCAATTAGCTACTGAATTTTCCTAGGCCTTTTCTGTTTTTGGTTATTATGCTAATATAATTTTGTAACCTGTGTTTGCTTACATTAGGATATTGCACAAGAAGCTGTCAAGAAGAGGCGACGTGCCACCAAGAAGCCTTACTCTAGGTCCATTGTGGGTGCAACCTTGGAGGTTATCCAGAAGAAAAGAACTGAAAGGCCAGAAGTTCGAGATGCTGCCAGGGAGGCTGCTCTTCGGTTTGTTTCTACTAATTCCTGTTGTTTATGTGGGCGCATGCCCACGATGTGCATCTAGTTTGTGTAGCTTTTGGCAGTCTTATCTGATATCTTGTACCAGACTTAGTCAGGTATTAACATTTTCATCATGTGGTTAATACAGTTACTAGTCTGGGAAATTAATGGTGTCTATCGTTACAGATTTGCTGATACCACTAAAGCACCTTCTGTTCCATATGGGCCCAACATGAAGTAACTCATTTCTTCTCTTGATAAAAAAAATCCTTGTGTGTTAAAATCACCTAAATCCTAAAGCGTCATATAGATATCTATTTCCTCGTCACAATGTTTGATGTATATCCTGGTGCAAAGAGAATGGATTATGGTGTTAATCGTTGAAGTTGAAGTTGACACATTCCTGATTTTGTTTACCAGTGTGCATACCAATGCCTTGCATTTAGTTCGTGTGTATTTTGGCAGTCTTATCTGATAATCCGATATCCAGACTTAGTCAGGTATTAACATTTTCATCCTGTGGTTAATACAGTTACTAGTCTGGGAAATTAATGGTGTCTATCGTTACAGATGTGCTGATACCAGTCAAGCACCTTCTGCTCCATATGGGCCCAACATGAAAGTAACACATTTCTTCTCGTGATAAAAAATTAACGTGTTAAAAACACATAGAGCCTTGGGTTAAAGCGTATATGCGATACCTGGTATATCATCCTGGTGCAAGGGGAAAATGAATTATGGTGTTAATCATTGAAGTTTAAGCTGATGCTTGTTTTTGGCGCAGATGGGAGTAAACTGATCTGTGTCTATGGCTTTTGCGCAGTGAAATTAAGGAAAGGATTAAGAAGACAAAGGATGAAAAGAAGGCTAAGAAAGCAGAGGTGACGGCCAAGTCCCAGAAAGCTGGAGGAAAGGGCAACCTCCCCAAAGGAGGTGCATCAAAAGTTCCTAAGCTTGGCGGTGGCGGAGGAAAACGTTAAGCTGCTGTTCATTTTGTTTCCTTATTAGCAATAGAGTGGCTTGTTTGAAGACACTGTAAACGACCAATCATTTACAAAAGTTACATCTGCAGACAAAAGTTTCTCGTATACAATTTTGCATTTAGTTAAAAATGCAGCTATTGATTCCCCGCAGACTACTGATCAATTGTGGGTGCATCCTCTGTTACGGCGTCTTTTTTTCACTCAAACAATATGTTTTAGAAATCTGTATTTGCTTCAAATGTGTGCGATAGCTCATACAATTTTTATATATTGTAGCACTTATATTCCTTGTCAAACGGATAATGGTAGCAAGACCTGGCCTCTTTAGCTAGTTTAACTGGAGCTGCTAAATTTTTTAGGCGAACCAAACCTTAGTTAAAGCAAGCTCTGATTAGTATAGTTAATTTACTAGTTCAAATCATATGCAATTTGATTGTATAATTTACTAGTTCAAATTATAACCTAAATTTTGATGAGGTTAAATAATTTTTAAAACACAAAATAAATTTCTGGCCAATGCAAGTGACCTTTCAATCACATTATTCCAATCCCTTTCATAAACGACACATCTGCAGTTGCTTCCTTGCTTCTCAGCCGGTGGGAGTAGGCAATCATTACACGGTTTCGAAAACGGTGACTGGTTTCTCAAAATTGATTTTGATTTGGATTAGAGGTCTTTTTCTTTTCTTTTTTTTTGGGATGAGATTGTGCGAATAGTATAAGATTGTGGAAAAGCTCCGCCGAAATATAATGACTCAAGGAATCCATTCACAATTTAATTCTAGAACAATTTTATGTTCACCTAAATTGAACACAAAGACGAACAAAAGTCTTGTGCCTTTTAAATACTCAACCTTAGTGTACCTCAAGTAAGAAGGCTTAGACAGACGAGTGTTTTTATCTCTGCTGGATATAAAGTTGAGATCTCATAATTTTTAACTCACTTCATTGATTATTAGGCCACATCTTTGGGTTTAGAATGACTCTTCCGACTTTGCTTCCTTGATGACTCAATCTCCTGATTTGAGTTCCCTCGCCAATGGAGCAAAATCGGGTATCAAAATAAGCGGAACTCCTATAATAATAGGAACTCGAAGTATATCATTCGTCAGGACCACTAGTCTACATTATGAAGTAGGTGACAGCTTATATTTGCTTTCCTATCAGCGTGAACAACTGTTCTGGTAGACTTATATGCTGAAGTTGTTGGATTGCTTAATAAAAGACAAAATCTAATGGCCATGCTAGTAACCTCAAGAGAATATTTTGAAGGCGCCAAGCCAAAAAGTATAGATGGATCTTGTCTACATTTGTCTATTATATTGTTGGGACATAAACCCTCCACCCGAAACAAGAAAAACCAATCTTACAATCTTTGCTTTAGATGTTTCTTCATATATTTGACAAAATCCCTTAAAAGTCCCACGTAAATACATTATGTGACAGGAAGGGACTTGGTTTTGGGG